TATTGTGATGAATTGTATGAGCCCCAATAAATTGATTTTTTTTAAAAGACAGGGTAGAACTGCCCCTGTGGGTTTCCAAAACTCGAACTCTTTACGTGAGTAGAAAGCCTCATCTTTCTCCCAAGAAGTGCCTGGTAGTTTTGAACCACTGACCTTGCAGTGAGCAGCCCAACAAGTAACCACTACGCCACTAGGGTTCCCGGCTCACCATCAGAACCTGGCCTGACGTGCCCATGGGCACACGTGACCCAATGGTACTCGTTGTATTTTGAAGAGGTAAGACTCCATGTGTTTAAAATCGTTGGCGAGGAGGGCGTGAGATGCCTGGTAGGAGCCAAGGGCCAAATAGAAAATGTTTTGAGAATGATGATGGCAACATATGTATGTACCAGTGTTCTGGACACAATGGATGGATGGATGGATGGATGGATGGATGGATGGATGGATGGATGGATTGTGATAAGAGCTGTACGAACCCCCAATAAAATGATTAAAACCAAGAAAAACAGTTGTTGTTTTTTTAAAAAGAAACTCTGGTACATACACACATATGCATCCCTAAAAATAGTCATGCAGCCATGAAATCACCTTATGACACCGGGAGACCGGGAAACCATTCTACTGAATGAGGTTAGCCAGTCACAAAAGAACAAACGTTGTATAATTCCACGACTATACGTGCACACACCAAGATGAAGGGAGGGTCTGCTCTCCAATCTCGTAATCTACTCCAGGCTTCCAAGAAACGAGGTAGAGAGTCCGCCTAGTGCACCCCAGGAACCATCTATCACCCGCTTGATATGTCCGTCTTACAAACCACTTCCACAGAGGCGACCTCAGTGCAGCTGGGATCAGTCTCTGGAGATGGGGGAGAGGGAGAAGGACATTCAGTTGCTGCCAGATGACAGGGTGCTAAAGTCACCCCCAAATCAGCAAGCACCACAACAGGAGGGATCAGCGAAGATGTGTGTAGGGGGGGGGGAGTGGGCGGGAAGGGAGGACACTGTGTCTTGGGGATTATACTTCTGATGGTGGATAAACTAGGGGAGTAACCTGTCATGGGGGTTGGGGGTTGGAATGCTTACCAATCCTTATACAGAACTCAAGAGGCAAATACACCCAATACTATGTACCTAATTAGACACCTTGACCTAGTTTCTGTTCAGCCCTTGATGACCCAGGTCATATGCTACAGACTCCTGGAGTTCTAGACTCTGTCCTTTGGAGTCCTACAACATCCTTCATAGGCCACACCAGGATTCTACTTGGACACCCCACTGTGTGAACTGGGCTTTGCCTCAGACTCACCTGTAGCAGAATTAGGAACTGACATGCTCCCTGGGGCTTAAGGCTGTGTGGTAGTTACATAATCTGGTGTCAATTTGAGAGGATTAGGAGTAAAGGGGTGGAGTCTGGCCTGTCAATCAAGAGATGACCAATGAGGCCTCTGTGTGGGCGTGGCCTCCTGATAATTCTGGGAAATCCTGTATTTCCTCCTTGGAGGTGGGACATCTTCTCACTCTACTCACTCCCTTGGAGACTCTACTGACAAGGCTGACTCCCTGGGAGACATCCTGAGGAGAAGCCACATGGACCAACCCTGATGCAGCCAGAACCCTGGACTAGAGAAGCCACATGGAGACCCCTGCCAGCACTGAGATGCTTACAATGTCACTGGATCCAAAGGCTTTCTACACACTGGCCTGTGATCATCCTGCATTCAGCATCATTGCAAGCATTTCGTGAGTCTAAAGAGGACTTTATAGATTGGTATCGGATATATGGGCTAATATCAGACTTATGGGCTTGGACTGGACTGAGTTGGGATGCTTTCTCAATGTTCAATTACCCTTTATATAAAACTCTTTGATACACATATGAGTTTCTATGGGTTTGTTTCTCTAGTCTACCCGGACTCACACAAGCTGAGATGCCCTAGTGTGGGAAAAGCAGATGACTGCCATCCCAAGGTTCTCGATTAGGTTCTCTTCTTTGAGGGTGCTCAATGAATGGTGGCCTGGAACTGCCATGGATTTACTAGTGTAATGCCCTCCTTGCTTTCTTATGAGCTGTGTTAGTCCAGTAGGCACGGTTCTGTCTCTGTGAATGAGTACTTTTGACATATTTGCCCTATCCCCAACGTTCATAGTTCATATAAATAGCACCCAGTCACTTAAGCATTTAATCTGTGCAAGTTAAAAATGTGTGTGTCGCTATCAGAAAAGCTGGCCTATAGATGCATAATTTCCTTTCCTCGATAGTGTTTTAAAGTCTAGACTATTAGCTAAAGTAATGACACTATTAGTAGAATTACTTTATGACTGTATTAGTCTGGGTACTTTGGAGAAACAAATCCACAGCAACTCATGTATAAGAGAGAGTTTTATGTAAAGAAAATGTGCATCATGAAAACA